GACGTTGAATATCAGGGGGAAAGGATTACTCAAAAACCGGCTCCAAGTGCTTTACCCCACGTCCTAATACCCTAATCCAAAACCTAGCCCCCTAATTATGCAGCCCTTACGGAAATTTCATATGACGTTGAATATCAGGGGGAAAGGATTACTCAAAAACCGGCTCCAAGTGCTTTACCCCACGTCCTAATACCCTAATCCAAAACCTAGCCCCCTAATTATGCAGCCCTTACGGAAATTTCATATATCCAGCATTGTAGAACCACCTTCCCAATTAATACCAACTCCCATACAAAAAACATTGCACGACTACGCAGCGGGATGATATTGGGAACAGTTATCTTGAATAACGAGAGCGGGGAGTGTACTATTTAGGAAATCCCAAAACCCCAAACCCAAAACCCTGCAAACAACCCCACATGTCCAAGGGGCACACGAAACGCAGAATCCCTGAAACCCAAACATTAAAGCCTCAACACAGAGTCCTCAACCATACAAAGCCCATATATATATATATATAGATACACATATATATATATATCTATACATATACATGCCTATAACCATATAAGGCCCGTCTCTATTTTCTGTTCGAGTTTCTTTTCCCTTTGATTCTCCCCTTAACTCTCCCCAAAACCCTAAACCTTAAACCGTAAGCATCGAACCTTGCATCCAAACCCTAAACTGAGGTCTTGGCCCCCCTCGTTGGGTCGAATGAAGCCAAAGCCTTTATCCTCGTGCCAGCGGAGAATGACCTGGGTTTGGGGCTTGAGGGCACCGTCTAGTAATCCTAGTTATCCGTGCTATAAACCTACTTACCCTTTAACCTGAGCAAAGCCCTAAACCAAAAAGCCCAAACCGTAGACCCTACCAAAAGCCTAGACACTAAACCCCAAAGCCTAAGCCCCAAACCCTGAAATCTAAACCCTATAAAACCCCGCTATAACAGTTTCCATTTTCTTTTCCTCCATCCATATATAACCCCTATATATAGCCCTATTATAGCCCCGAACCAATCCTGAAGCCTAAATTCCTCAGCCTTCTGGGCTAAGACCTTGTCCTTATCACCCCACCTCAAAATCAGGATCCCTAGGCCCAAAAAACCTAAAGCCTTAAACCTCCTCGAAATCCCAAGCTGCATGACTTACTGGTGGCTAGGAGGGAATTGACGCATATCATCCCGACATGATCCCTATAGTACCTTCCCTTCTTTCCTACTACTTTTATGAGTATTATATTATCAACTATTGTTACTACTATAATTTATATCTTCATTATTATTACTACTATTTTTGTTAAACCCTAAACCAAGTGTTACTTTTATTATTCATATCTTTATTATCATTATCCTTATTAGTATCTTCCTATCGTGCCAAAAAACTCCCCTCGGCATGGCTCCCCCCGTGCGGTAACGAAGGCCAGGCTTTGTCTATGGACCAAGCTGCGGATGTGCGAAGAGGGTTCAGGGTTTAGGGTAGGGTTTAGGGTTTAGGGTTCAGGGTCTGGGGTTTTAGGGTTCAAGCGTCAGGGTTTAAGGTTTCAGGGTTTAGCGTTGGGGTACTACATATATAGAAATTGGGATCTACGAGAATATTTGGGGGGTAGGAGGGTAGGGTGTGTGATAGGTTGTAGTGTTTGTGAGTCAGGGATTTGTACCTTAGGCTTCTTCTTTAAAGGAGCTTACTAGAGATATGTCTGGGTATCTTGTGGTTAGGGGGTTGGGGTGTGCGGTTGTGGGTCTAAGTGGTTTTGGGGTGGAGTTCAGAGTTTGTGGGAATTCCGAGTTGGTTGGCTTTATATTAAGGGGAGGCGATTGGTTGACAAGACCACCAAGCAAGGGTGTCGCAAAATCACTGCCCGGGAAAGGGCCTGGGAAAGCAGAATAGAAAGCATCTTGTAATACAAATCTGTGATGGCACAGTTGGCAAACTGTTTAGGTTCTTAAACTACATTCTTCTGCGGTGTGTACGTCAATCAGCTTGGTGATGTTTTGTTCTGGTGCCTACTTGGTCCATATAGTAGCCAATTTTCAAAGACACAGCCTCATCCGAATCCATTGCGCACCCACAACAAGACAGAAATCCACCAGCCTGTCGCAGGGGGAGAAGTGCCCAAGCACACGCATTTACTGTCGTCTGCCGTTGGCTTCCTTTAAGGTTTGGGGTCACTATCTGTCAGCAAGCAACCCTAAACCCTAAACCCTAAACCCCTTTCACCACCGCCATCTTGAAGCCTGGATGTAATATAGACGAAATTTAGTAAGTCCAAGCTTGGACATGAGGACCCTATGATGGCTATTGGGCTGTTTTAGGTCCTCATGCGGTACCTTTTTGGAGATTCCTAAGAGAAGGCTTAGAATACTTGGGGGTCTAGATTGGGACCCGCCTATTGCTGGAATCTAATATGTTGAGGGTCGCGGTCACAAAATGGGGCTACGGCTTCAAAGGGAAACTCAACTTTTTTTGAACGCGTGTCCTACGGACGATGCTAGCCATCGCGCATGACCCCAAGTACCCTAAACCCTGGGAATTATGTGAGTTTAGTATCATAAAGTCATGAAGAGTTTAAGCATCAACTTCCTCTTTGCAGTTTAGGCTTTAAGGGCGGGTTCAGGGCAAGTGGGGATCAAGCCCGGTATGAATCCATTCCTTGAGCGGTTCCACTTCAAGCAGGGTTCTGCCCGAAACACGCCTGAGAGTTTCAAACGGTAATTCGTCCCTTTCGACCAATAACACAACATGGTGTGTTAACAATTCCCTGGCGCTGTACTACAAAAAATAAAACAGGTGGATAAGAGTAAAACCCTCCCACCCTAAACCATACTGTGTGGTCCCTAAAATGTTGTGTGAATAGGTTCCCGAATGCAAAACGGAGGGAAACGAATGATCATTCACCTGACATGTAGACAAAATCATGCAAGGCTCACACTAGAAAACACCGCGCTGTAGTAACTTTTGCTTCTTACATGACATGCAGGAATTGCTCTCAAATCATGTGTAAGCCCTAAAATCCTAAACCCTGAACCCAACCCTCAACCACAAACTGAGTTCTTTTGTTGCAACTGTGCAGGTCAATGGTAAAAGCTGTCGAAGCTGCAGGAGAGGTGGCGATGGATCTTTTGCCCAGTCGTTACCCTGGAACTCCAACAGCTCAAAGTAGGTCACCCCCTCCCTTTGATATTAAACCCCCCGCACCCGCTAGTATTAAATATTCCGAATATATTCTAGTTTACCGCATCAATGTTATGTAGGCTGGGCGAAAGGTTTCAGATTAGGGGAGGGATTACTTGTTATGGGCTTTAGGACCCAATGGAACTATTATCTATAGACGTCGAGCCCCTGGGTCAGGGTTCCTAGTTCAGGGGCGAATTGTGTCCAGTTGTGAATGGCGTTGTGAATTGTCCTTGTTTTAAATGCAGTGGTAAGATTTTTTCCGCGACTCTGGATTTGAATGATATTTCTTGAATACACTCCACGAAACATAAATGGACGCCCATGAAGCACCCTTAAAAGACGACGGTGTTCGTAGAACCCCCAAACCTACGTAAAAACAAATCTACATGGATGTCACATATCCCTAAATAGCCCTGTGAAACCCTAGCTAACCTTACGATCCCCTTTCAACCCGGTTGGGCAAAGCTCACCACCGATCCGCCACTCCACGCGCGTGAGCGGGAGCCACATGGTATCCATGAGCACTCCCGCCACAAGTAGGAAGGGCATTTCGACCTGGCTATTTTACAGCTTACAATACCTGAAACAAAGCGGACTTACATAATTTTCGAAACCCGGAAATAAATGAAACCTCTTTGGGACAAAGCTCTGAACCATAAACCTTAAACCTTGAACCCGAATTCCCAAACTCCCTGAACCTAAGCCCTAAACCCCGGTATTAACCACCAGTCGGGGTGTGCTCGGGTGAGGCCATTACAACATGCCTGGTAGCCGGTAACGGAAGTAGGCCAAGCAACGAACCTCATAGGGCTTAGGCGCACTGGGATTGGTTGGTTTCTGAGCCCTAATCCCTATAATGTTGCCTACAGAATCCACGTATATGTATACATACACATGCCCATTGCAGTACCGTAGCTATAATCTTCACTTTCCCCTCCTCCTTTACATCTGGGATACTGTCGGCCCAAACCCTAAGCTTAACCCTATAATGCCCCCTATCGTTCCTTATGTAACCCTCATATGAGCTATAGTCTA